CCGAAGAAGTATCTTGTTTTGACCTTGTTTATTCTATTGGGAAGGAAATGGGTATCGAGCTGCAAGATGAAGACATCTCCACGGCCCACCGTTTACCCACTTACAATAAAAGTGCAGAAGACAAGATTATCATCAAGTTTACGCGTCGCAGTATTCGGGACGAGTTTTACGGAAAGAGGAAAACAATCGCCGGCAAAGAAGTTGGTAAAGTTGGCACTCTACGAGATCTTTCTCAAGACCCAAAGAAGAAATTATATATCTCCGAGTCGCTAACACAAGCAAGAAAGAAATTGTTTGGCAGCATTAACAAGTTTGAGAAGGACAACAAGTGGAAATATATTTGGACCAACAACGGGCGAATATACCTCAAGGAAGGAGACGGGGAAAAGCGTACGTCCACATTCTACTACGCAGACGAGTTCGCTGACTTCAAAAGTAAATTTCCTCATGGATAAGTGAAGTCTATTTTTTTCTTTTATTTAGTAGGTCCATATGCCCAAATTTTGCTGTTTCTAGTACCCATCCTGGTAAGTCATTCAGTTGGAACTGTTCAAGTTATTTAATTATAATCACTTGACACGACTGTGAATTATTTATCGGAACTGCCCTTTTATGGCTTAACAGACAGGCGAGAATTCGCGAAAGCTGTGGGATCATGGGTGTATGATACTGTTCTTACGCTTGAAGAAAGAGATTTATTTGAGAACGTTCTTGAAAGCCCTGACAAAAACGATCAGTTCTTGAATATCTTAGGAAGTTTAAAGATAGAGTCAAAATATTACACAATCAAGCAATCTGGCACGTGCTTTCAAAAATTTAACACAAGATGCTTCTCAATATTCAATTGTAATATTCGGAGCTTAAGAAAGAATTTATGTCTGCTTAATGATATTTTGATAACCGTGAAGGAAATGCCTAGCATTATAACTATTTCTGAACCTAAGCTAAACGACAATAATCAGCATCTTCACAATATTAATATACCCGGTTACAATTTTGTCGGTGTGAATTCTAGAACGAATGCTGGTGGAGCTGGTATTTACATAAAACAAAATTTAAATTTTTTTACCAGGCGGGACCTAGAGTTTTCTTCTGACAGTTTTGAAACGTGCTTTGTTGAACTACCGAGAGAAAGGCAAAAGAGTATTATTATTAGTTCCATCTATAGACATCCTCACGGCACCGCCGAAAATTTCTGCGAACTTCTTAGGCAGAAATTAAATCATTTGAACAACTGCAGTTATGAAGTGTACATAACCGGAGAGATTAACATTGATTTTTACAAATATCACAGTGCTAAGTTTACTTCTGAATATCTTCATATGTTATTCGATTTGGGCTACATGCCTCTTATCACAAAAGCAACCCGGATAACCAATCACAGTGCTACTCTCATTGACCACATCTACTCAAATTCACCACAAAAAAGTTTTAAAGTCTGGAATCTGCTTGGCAGATCTCTCAGATTATTCGCCATGTTTTTGTTCAATAGCCACCAAACGTCCAGATTACGCAGGTGACAGGTATTATAAGAACTATTCAAGATTTAATGAAGCCAGATATCTAGCTGACATAGCCACGGTAGAATTCTGTAGTTTAGTTACTAATGATGTGAATGACAGTATGGAATTACAAAACTTAATTAACCATGAATTATCCAAAGTTAAAGAATGGTGTGACTTAAACAAGCTATCCATCAACTTAAAGAAAACTAATTATATGATAATTAAATCACCTAAAAAGAAGACAAATATATCATGGGATGTAAAATTAACTAACAATGATGGCTCCACCTACGGCTTAGAAAAGAGAACTTACATAAAATATTTGGGCGTACTTATAGATGACACGCTATCATGGAAACATCAGGTGTCTTATTTATGTACTCGAATTTCTAGAAACACAGGAATTGTTGGCAAACTCAGACACTGCACCTCCCTTTTACAACTTAAACAACTATACTATAACCTGATCTGTCCTTATATATCTTATGCGATAACCTCCTGGGGCAGTGCATTTACTACTCAAATTAAAAAAATCCAAACAAAACAAAATCATGTTATCCGCGTTATGTTCTTTGCCACCTTGTTTGGACCAGATACAGAAAGTGCATTACCATTACTTAATTTATTGGATTTACTTACTGTTACAAATATCTATAAACTACAGCTTCTTAACTTTACTCATCAGTGGCATTCTAAAAAATTACCAAATATCTTTAATCAGCATTTTCGCTATGCAAGTGAAGTCCATACATATAATACGAGATATGCTTCAAAAAGTAACTTCTACAAACCACGTTCTAGGACCAATATAGGAAAGCAAACAACA